TCGTGAGCCAGGTGGGATCCAAATAACCACCCCTGAGCTCCCTGGACGAGGGGCAAAAGCTTGATAGCTTTGGAAGGGCCACGTCTGTTTGTGCACCCTGAGGTGTTTTGCGGTATTCATTAGGTGGGTTTCCTATATGCAGATTATGTCTGGCCAGGATCTGCCCCCAACCCCCCTCATCAAATCCCAAAGAGCTTTGATTTTGTTCAGGCTGCGGGATGCCAGGCTATTTACGTTGATTGATCTCATATCCAGATCAGCCTGCTGCAACGTCCGGGTCCATCTTTTGTTCTTCCCATAAACTGCGTCGACCCACTCCATTGTATTAGATCACTTGCTCTTAACACTCTCAGCCTATTTGTTCCGTAGCAGTGTCCAATCCTGCGAGTCCCAGTCAACCCCCTTGTTCAGGACGTTCTTTGTCAGTAGTGTGCAAATGCAAGTAAGTAGCTCATCTGTTAACCAGATGTTGCTTGGTTTGAATTTAAATTGTTGTGTGTCCAGGAGCATGTTGTGCGTGTGCCACAACAGACCCGCCTCTTTGTTTTCTTCAAACCTTACGTAGATGTCTTTGCAGACCATTTTTAACCCTTCTGTTGATATGCTTATGAAGGTCATTGCACCTGGTTCATAATTAGCAGCGATAAAGTTCGTGACTTCGTGTGTTTTGAGGGTCCCTCCCTTTTGCATGTGCCACCCAAGAAGTGACATTCCACCGTAGGCGGGAGTGTATGGATCCTCGGAGTCAGCTGGTGACATTCCGAGTTCCCATTTCCCGTTCTTTTTTCTAATTGGCAACACTAGCACCTTGTCCCCCCTTGGTACGCCCTTGCGGTACAAGCCTTTTCGATCAAGTGGCGTATCTTGAGACCTTTGGATAGGCTTGCCTCCGCAGTCTCTACCGTTGCTTCCTCTTTCTGTTCCAAGTGGGTGGCATGCATGTCTTGCTGAGTATCTACAGGGGTCGACTGGTCAGGGGGGCGGGGGGGGGGCACGTCTGCCTCTCTGTGTGTTTCCGCGACGGGAGGTTGGAATTTTTTACGCACAATGATCCAGATTCTGCTCAAAACTTGTTGCGAGTCGGTCTCCGGGGCGAGGCCCTGCACCAGCGCCTGTCTTAGGCTGGGGCTTTCATCGAGAAGGGCGAAGAGTTGGACATAGGCCTCATCCCAATATGTCTCGGTCTGGCCCGTGTAAAGGGACCGGAGTAGTCCTAATAGCCAGTCCGCCAGGTTCCTTAGCCTAGTCTGGATGTCTTCTCCCCCTTGTGATCCCCATGCCTCGGGAGTGCTGTCTCTCATCTCCACATCCGGGGGGGGAGCGGGCGATTCCCAATCCATGGGCTGTGGGCCGACGGCCTGGAAGAAGGGGTCCGGTCTTAAGGTGACCTCTTTCCCGGTGGGAGCCCCTTGGGGGGCCCCTTGAGGGGGTGTTGTTTGGGGTTTTTCTGCTTCCCCCCCTTGAAGGGACTTCTCCCCTTGGGGGGGGTGCTACCTAGTTACCTCTTCCCCCGGGGCCAATTTTCCTCCATGGGTAGCCCTTGGTCCCTCTCGATCCCCTTCCCTTTTCTTCTCAATTTTGCCGGCGGAGTTCCCTTTTTGCGGGATACACTTGTGTTGTTTCCTCGGCCCCTCAACTCCTCCCGCTCCTGCTCTTTGTTATTCCCTTCATCCCCCCTCACAGGCTGTGCTGGTGGAGGTTTATCTTCTGTTCCTACCTCTGTTGCCAGAACCTGAAAACGGTTTTCCGAATCAGGGGGGACTCCCCCATGGGGTAGCTTGCCTCGTTTGGGGGGGGGGCTTTCTTCTTCGGGGTTGGGGATATCCACAAATCTCCAGTGTTCGAAGGGGTGATAAAGTCCTGGGGCCTGGGCTCTTGCCTGGGTTGTGTTCTGGGCCCCTCTTCTTCTACACCAGGCGGGTCCTGCCTAATTGTTGTTGCGGCCGCCCCATTTGTGGGGAGAGGAGGTGATGAAGAGACCCTTTCAATGTGTGCCTCTACCGTTTTGGGGGGGGACCAGTGATTGGGCGGTTTCGTATTCCAGTCCACTGCCTCTTCCTTCTCCCATTCCCATCCCCTCACTCCCCCACCCTCCCGGGGTTCATCCTTGTACACCCAACCTTCATGCCCCGCATCCACAGTCCTCCACTATGTGTCTTTGAAGGGATCGCGTAGCAGGCGACCGGTGGACCTAATCTTCTTAGCCGGGTGGTGAGGGCAATCCGTATCCAAGGGGAGACGGTCGTAGGCTTGGCATTTAAAACACCACGGTCGTGTTTTGTGTGTCGTGTGAATTCGAAAGTCTCTCCCTCCCACCCGGAAGACGACTATGTCATCAATGGTGAAGATGTGACCATCAGGGAGATCCAACGCAATCATGAGGTAGTCATCTCCTTGGGACACGTGGGGGGGCAGTGGATCAATAAAATCAACAATCTCATACTTATGGGCCAGTTCCTGAACGAAATCCCCTTGAATTTCTATAGGAACATGGCTGAACTCCACCCAATAGTAATTTGTCATAAGATATTCCCTCTTCTCCTCCGGCTTCTGCTGTTTCGGTCGGGCCCAGGGGAAAATTCGAACCTCCGAACGTCCACATGGTATACTTCGCCATGCATCCATAATCCGCTTATCAGAATCAAACATACAGATAACCGTGAATACCATTGATGAGATTGGTTGGATTAGGAAGAAGTCTCGGGCGCCCGCCTTTGAGCCTTTGAGGGTTGCGAGACGCTTCCTGATCCAGCCAATCTTATCGTTGGTGGATTTGTATGTTGCGTCGTCGTAAAATATCCATGTGCTGGCGTATCGGGTGTATATGGCATCCCTTTCCTTGATCATGTCTGTTGGAAGGGATTTAACTCTGTGCTTCTTCCCCCCCTGGTTAACTATCTTGTCCTTTGGGCTAGCCAAGAACTTTGCGAGGAAGAAGGCAGAGGTCGTTGTTAGATTATCCAGTGGGATATCCAAGTTCTCTTCTCCCTCTCGCTCCCTCCTAATCGATCGTGTTTGTCCTTCATACACCCTTTTGAGCTTGTCTGCCCATGATGTGGGGGGGGCTGGATTTGCTTGTTTGTTTCCTTCTTTCGTCTGTGTTTCCTTCGTTCCCATTTTCTCTCCTGACGGTTCTCGCAACGGGGGGGATTGATAGGAGGAGGAGGTTGTGTCCATTATGTCCGGCTCCCTCCTCTCTTTCTCGTCGCGAGGTTTCCAGGCAGACGAATGATGACCCATTGCCCCCTGGTGCCAGATCGTCTGTGTCCACCCTTTGTCGTTTCGCCTTCTAGCCTCATTTTTCAGGCTCGCCATATTCGGGCGGTCGTCGAACGGGAGCAGGACGCGGAGTGATAGGGGGAGTTGGAATCGGGATCGGGATGATCAAGGTTGAGGTGGCTGGGAAAGGCAAGTCAGGGGGGGAGGGGGTCGGAGTGGCAGAGGGAATCGGGATCGAGATCGGGGTCGGGGGCCAGGAGGGCGGGAGGGTGGGGCGGGGCCGGGATCGGGATGGTCGGGAGGGACAGGGGGGAGGAGTGGCTGGGGGAATCGGGGTCAGGATCGGGAAGGTAGAAGTGCCTGTGATCGGGGTAGGCAAGTCCCGGGGAGGCGAAGCGACAGGCGAAGTGGCAGGGAGAGTCGGG